CCTCACAGCGACCCTCTAGGACAGAATTGTCCCTCTGGCTTTCCGAGGCTGTAACTCTTCACCAGAGTAGAAAGCCTCACAGCGACCCTCTAGGACAGAACTGCCCCTCTGGCTTTCCGAGGCTGTAACTCTTCACCAGAGTAGAAAGCCTCACAGCAACCCTCTAGGACAGAACTGTCCCTCTGGCTTTCCGAGGCTGTAACTCTTCATGAGAGCAGGAAGCCTCATCTTCCTTCCATGGAGCTGCTGGTGGTTTGGACCCACTAAATTTTCAGTTAGCCAGAAAACCCCAAACCAAACTCACTGACACTGAGTCGATGCTGACCAATGACTGCCCTATAGGATATAGGAAACCCACTGCCCCTGTGGGTTTCCAAGATGGTAATTCTTTACAGGAGTAGAAAGTCTCATCTTTCTCTCACAGAGTGGCTGGTGGTTTCAAACTGCTGAACTTGCGGTTAGCCCACTGATTACAAAACAAGCCCCATCCACGTTCTAATGCAGACAGGTGGAGAGCTTTCAGGACACCTAGGTCCAGTGCCCACTTCCCCCACCCCCTGCCCTACTCCCAGGCTGAAACGAGGTGTCTGCGCTTCCTGTGATCCTAGGGAGGGGGTCCTGGATGTGTCAGGATGGCGGGAGGCACATGCCTTCTGTCTGTGCAGAGAACGTGGCTCCAGAAGGACATGGTAGGTGGTGGGTTATCACACTGTGTGCCCCGAGAGTGTACCTGGAGCCCCTCACTTGTGGGTATGGACACCCACACAGGTATCATAGTCTGTATTGGTAGCAAAATTTTTTGGATACAACCACCCAGGAAGAGAAGGGTCTTCCCTCAGCAGGTGGGCACAGGTATGTGCTGTGGCAAGGGCACCACCTGCAAACCATTCCACCTTGAGCTTTGAAGCCCACCCCTTTGTTCTTGCACTGCGATTTTATTTTCTGCTTTTAATGCCGTCTTGTCCTTAGAAGGAGCCCTGATGGTGGAGTGATGACACACTGGGCTGCGATCCGCAAGGTCAGCAGTTCAAATCCACCAGCCACTCCATGGGAGAAAGATGGGGCTTTCTACTCCCATAAAAAGTTGCAATCTCAGACCCTCACACTGGCAGTTCTACCCTGTCTTGTAGGGTCATTTGGAGTCAGCATTGACTTCATGGCAGTATGGGTGAGTGAGTGTGGCTGGCCTTAGGTACCCTGGATTTTACCCACAATGTTCTAGAGTAATCTGAATTTCCACAATTGAATTTGTTGTGTGTTCAAGCTGACCCTAAATCCTAGAGACCACGGGGCAGAGTCGAACTGCCCCGCAGGACTTTGCATCCTGAAGGCTGGACAGGAGATGGCTGCAGTTTTCTTCTGGATCAGCTGGTGGGTTCAAACCACCTGCCTCTCTGTTAGCAGCCAAGTGCTATGCCACCAGGGCTCCCTACATGCCATATAACCAGCATCAATTGCCACTTCCGGCTGCCATGGAGTGGGTCCAGATACACAGGATCCTATGGGACAGAGTAGAATTGCCCCCTAGGGTTTCCTAGGCTGAAATCTCTAAGAGAGCAGATGGCCAGATCTCAGTGGTCTGCAGTGGGGCGACTGGTGGCTTTGAACCTCTGACCTTTCAACTAACAGCTGAGTGCATCACCATCGCACCACCAGGGCTCCTGAAGGAGGTCCTGCATGGCATGAATAGTGTGCACTTAACCGCTGTGCAATGGGGGAGGCACAGGGCTGCTCACAGCAAGGCCGGGGGTTCAAACCCACCAGCCAATCCTCCTGAAAAGATTCAGGGACTGAGGAGCGGTTCTACTCTGTTCTGTCCTGTCAGGTCGCTGTGGGTTGGGAT